TTCCTGACTGAATCCAGCACATACATTTTTGTGCACTGGTGAGTTTGTATGGAAACAAAGCAATATGTTTTTCTTCTATTAATAATCTTCTGTTTATTTCCAAATTTTTCTCCTCCAAAACAAAAATAATCATAAACAATTAACTTTGTGTTATACCACATTTATTTCATGAGGAATATTTTCATCATTAGATTTTTTTTTTTATCATTGCCTTTTAGACCGCTCTGTTTTAGCATATTCCCAAACTGTTTTCCCTAACAGCTGGCATCTGCTTGCTTAAAACATTGAGCTGTAGCGCAGCGCTGCGTAATGACTCTCCCTTGGCAGGCTGCTGATGTGGTTTGTCCTGGTTGACTTCTGTTGGTGCAAGCGGTTTTTGTCCTCGCGTGCTCATGAGACCTTCCTTCTTTCCCCGTCAGAGATGACTGCGCCGTCAGGATGGCTCATGTGATTACCCGTTATCTCTTTCAGTCAGAATGAGCCAGGGGAGCAGAGGACAGTATTTAACCTAACCCAGCTCAGTTAGGAGTGAACTGGGCTAGGGAGTAATCGCATCACCAGCTCAATCAGGAGATACAATGGGGAATAACCTTTTACAAGGGCAAAAATTGAGAGTTAGGGAGGAGATGCCAGTCTGTGCATTTAACTTCAGTCACACAGACAGCGGATGCAGGTGAATCCCAGGATGCTGACTTGCACCACAGCTATTGGAAGAAGTGGATGACTTCAGTGACCTTCTGGTCTTACAGACTCTCTTCTGGCTGTAGTTATTTGTGTTGATGATGGGTAGGGCCCCAGTTCTGTTGAAATAAGTGGCAGTGCTTTCTGTATTCAAAGACAGGAAAGTCTATTTTCTGGAAATGCAAACCTCGGAATTTATGTGTTTTTCTGATGATAAGCAGGATTTCAGCACCAACTAGTATTTGCTTTAGTATGAGCTAACAATACATCCCCTTCGTGTTAATTTCTTCCCATCTGCTTGTAACTGCTTTAACTATAAGTTTTACTGACACTTAGGGGCTCCATCCTGCAGCTGCTCAGCATATGGTAGTCTTATAATCTTCATGGAAATGTTACATACAAAATAGCTGTAGGAGGTGTTCTAATTTTTTACTGCTTGGATAAGAGGAGCCCTTTCTTTCACCTGTTAATTGCAGAATGTTTTCCCTATAAACTGTAAACGGTTATTTTATAAACTTCAAAGGCTGTAAATGATCTCCTCAGACTGCTTCCCCGAAACGGTGTGTTTGTGATTCTCTGTCACTGCGTAGGATCCACATGGGCAGATCTGCCCCCGGATACAGCACGTGTGGAGGTTGCACAGCCTAGTTTCCTTATGTCTTCCAAAGTAAATGAAAATGTTGCCAGTGGCAGGCCAAGTCTGGCAACAGCAAAACGGCCTTTTTAGTGCCTTTGGATCACCAACAAAGCCCGGTGCTACAATATATTAACGTTTTAGTAGTATTTTAATGAGCTATCTGGAGCTAAATTTTGTATTTTAATTTCTAATTTCCAGCTGCCAGCTCATGTTACTTTATCTTTGGCAACAGTTACTGTACCAGCGAATGTTTATGGCCTGCAGCAAGTGTTGAAGAACAGCATATAAACGTCATTGTCCCATCTTGAACTTGAATACACAGAGAAGACAATACAATCCTTTCCTCCCAGTTTGCCTATTATATCCTCATAGGATCAGCCTGGAGATGTGCCATGAAAAATACAGATATGCTATTCCAGTGCTTCCTTTTATTTAGTAGGTTGTTCAGTTTTTCCTGAGTTTGCATGTGTGAGTGTTTTTATCTGGAAACAATCAAATGTGAATTATCCTGGTTTTTTTGGAAGGCCAGTTTGTTATTGTCCGCAGACTGGTAGACAAAATTAAGTCCCTGTCAAAGCTTTAATAACTGCCATGAGAATCCCCAAGTGCAGGTTTTCTTGTCTGCAGTATAAAGGATTGCTAATCATAAATCTGTGCAATTTTGCTTAAAAAAAACCCAAACAAAAGCAAAGTGATGTATTTCAAATCACCTAAATTTAACACATGCACGGATAACGGGTTCAGGGCCCAATCCGGTAAACTCTTAAGCACATGGATTTATTAATGTGACTGTATTAGTATGTGTTCGTTCTACGTAACATGATTAAGACTGGAATTTTACATAGATCTAAAGATTTGAAGGATTAATTCTTATTTGTCATTTATAAAAAGCCAGAAGTTCTGGCTTTAAGACTTATTCCCTGTGCTCTGTCGAGGTTGAGTTTTCCCATCTTGAGAAAACTTCTGTTATCCAACCTTGTTACTTGAAGAGTTTCACTTCTGGTTTATAGATGCGTTCAGTTTTGCCTGTGGTGATTCAGCTAAGCTGTGGTCTTACTGGCTTCAGCTAAATCCGGAATGTTCCTCAACTGAAAGAAGAGTATCTACATAAGGCATTAACACTCATTTAGCTAAGAAGATTCCTTAACCAAAACGTTAGAATGGCTATCATGTTTGTAAAGCTCAGGTAGGAGTTCTAGGCTGTGGGAACTGTCAGCTTCGTTCCTTGAGCTGGCAACAGCAGCGCCCCGTGACCCAGCACTGTGCCCCGTCTGCGCATGCCACTGGCGCCTGCTCGTCCCTGTGACTTCTCTGGCCTTGCTGCTGTTGCATCTTCCTCCACTCCGCTCCTCAGTCAGCTCCTGGGACTTTGTCCCACAGTGGGTGCAGCATTCAGGGCTATGAATCCAGCATTCAGCACTGAGCGGCAGTGCTGAGTTTGGGGTGCTTCATGCCACGGGGGAATTACCTTGTGCCTTGGAAATCCTGTGTGACTCAGGGACACGCAGTGCCTAGGTGGCTGGGGGGCATGTCCGTCACCTGTACGAGAGCTAAAAAAGACTCATAAATTGAGGGTTGTAGAAGAGAGGGCAGACAATGGAAGTTGGTAAAGCTGTCGCATCCTTTTTTTCTGGATAGTCAGTCCCTGACTCTCCCATAAACTTCAGTACGTTGATTCCAAGGAGAGTGAAACTCGTTGATGTATGGCTGATTGTTTATTTTCAGGAGTATAGCATGAGATAGTGGAAGAGAGTTAACAGTCCTCAGCCTGGGGGGAAACAAAAACCTCAGTGCATCTTCAAACAATAGAATTACAGTATTTTTAACGCTGCTGCCAAGGTTATGCTGCTGTGACGAGTCAGTGTACTGAGTTACTGCTGGTATAGTCTGCTCCGTGTAAGAGGATGCTGATCAAAACCAAAGTGCGTGGAAATAAGGATTTAGAATGTTAACACAAAAAGACCGTAAGCTGAATTTTCATCACTTTGGGTTTTTTTTTTTGTGGGTGAGTGTTTCTAATTCAGACTGTTGCTTTAAACTGGATTTTTTTTTCCCCCTGCTTGTCTTTATGCAGATCAGATCCCACTCCCAGTTTGGTGATCTCTGCCAGAGAGCCACTGCTGCTTCGTGCTGTCCCAGCTGGACCCTGGGCAACTATATTGCTATTCTAAACAACAGGTCATCGTGTCAAAAAATCGTAGAACGGGATGTCTCTCACACCCTAAAGCTGCTTCGCACATGTGCCAAATACTACTACAACGGGACCCTGGGGCCAGACTGCTGGGATATGAATGCCAAAAGGAAGGACCAACTCAAGTGTACAAACGTGCCTCGCAAATGTACCAAGTACAACGCTGTTTACCAGATCCTTCACTATCTAGTGGACAAGGATTTTCTAAGCCCAAAGACAGCTGACTATGTCTTACCAGCTTTAAAATACAGCATGCTCTTCTCTCCCACTGAGAAAGGGGAAAGCATGATGAGCATTTACCTAGATAACTTTGAAAACTGGAACGCCTCTGACGGTGTGACAACCGTCACAGGGATTGAGTTTGGAATAAAACATAGACTGTTTCAAGATTACCTGCTGATGGATACTGTGTATCCTGCCATAGCCATTGTGATCGTTCTGTTAGTTATGTGTGTATACACAAAGTCCATGTTTATCACGCTGATGACTATGTTTGCAATAATTAGTTCCTTGATTATTTCTTATTTTCTCTACCGGGTAGTATTTAATTTTGAGTTCTTTCCATTCATGAATCTCACTGCATTGATTATTCTTGTTGGGATCGGAGCAGACGATGCTTTTGTTTTATGTGACGTTTGGAACTACACAAAATTCGATAAACCTCATGCTGGAACCTCTGAGACAGTGAGCATCACATTGCAGCACGCTGCCCTTTCCATGTTTGTCACGAGTTTTACTACCGCCGCTGCCTTCTATGCTAATTACGTCAGCAATATCACAGCCATCAGGTGTTTTGGTGTTTATGCTGGCACTGCCATATTGGTGAATTACATTTTAATGGTTACGTGGCTGCCTGCCGTAGTTGTATTACATGAACGCTATCTTCTCAATATCTTCAGCTGCTTTAAGAAACCTCAGCAGAGGGTGTACAACAACAAAAACTGCTGGACAGTGTTGTGCCAGATGTTCCACAGGATTATTTTTGCAGTTTCGGAAGCATCCAGGATATTTTTTGAAAAAGTTTTGCCATGCATTGTTATCAAATTTCGCTATGTTTGGCTTTTCTGGTTCCTTGCCTTAACAATTGGTGGAGCATACATTGTGTGTGTAAATCCAAAGATGAAATTGCCGTCATTGGAGCTTTCAGAGTTTCAGGTATTTAGGTCTTCTCACCCATTTGAACGATATGATGCAGAATACAAAAAGCTTTTTATGTTTGAACGTGTTCACCATGGAGAGGAGCTCCACATGCCAATCACAGTCATCTGGGGTGTCACACCTGAGGATAACGGTGACCCTTTAAACCCTAAAAGTAAAGGAAAGCTACAGCTAGATAGCAGTTTCAATATCGCTAGCCCAGCCTCACAGGTTTGGATTTTACGTTTCTGTCAGAAGTTAAGAAATCAGACATTCTATCATCAGACTGAAGAACAAGACTTCACGAGCTGCTTTATTGAGACGTTTAAGCAGTGGATGGAAAATCAAGACTGCGATGAGCCATCTCTCTACCCCTGCTGCAGCCACTGGAGCTTTCCAAATTATGTATCAAGAGAGCTATAATGGAGCTAGAAAGAAGCACAGGGTACCATTTGGATAGTAAAACCCCAGGGCCTCGCTTTGACCTAAACGACACCATCAGGGCAGTGGTGTTGGAGTTCCAAAGCACCTACCTCTTCACGCTGGCTTACGAGAAAATGCATCAGTTCTACAAAGAGGTGGACTCATGGATTTCGAGTGAGCTTAGTTCTGCTCCTGAAGGGCTTAGCAACGGTTGGTTTGTGAGTAACCTTGAATTTTATGATCTTCAGGACAGTCTTTCTGATGGGACTCTGATCGCCATGGGTCTTTCGGTTGCTGTTGCGTTTAGCGTAATGCTTCTTACAACCTGGAATATAATTATAAGCCTTTACGCAATAGTTTCAATAGCTGGAACTATTTTTGTCACTGTAGGCTCTCTGGTTCTTCTTGGATGGGAGCTAAATGTGTTAGAATCTGTCACTATTTCGGTGGCTGTTGGCTTATCCGTAGACTTTGCTGTTCATTATGGAGTGGCTTATCGCTTAGCCCCTGACCCTGACCGAGAGGGAAAAGTCATTTTTTCTTTAAGCCGTATGGGTTCTGCTATTGCCATGGCTGCGCTGACTACCTTTGTAGCTGGAGCCATGATGATGCCCTCTACGGTGTTGGCATACACGCAGCTTGGCACTTTTATGATGCTTATAATGTGCATTAGTTGGGCTTTTGCAACGTTCTTCTTCCAGTGCATGTGCCGATGCCTTGGACCCCAGGGCACCTGCGGCCAGATCCCACTCCCCAAAAAAATGCAGTGTAATGCCTTCTCTCAGACCTTTTCCGGAGCCCAAGGAGGCAGAGGTCAGAGTAAATCACATCCTGTTAGCAAGTATCAGCTGGACTCCAGAAGTCCAAAGCCAGAAACAGAGCACGAGCACTATGAGCTGGAGCCTCTGGCGTCACAAACCAGCATCTGCAACCCTGCGGAGAAAGTGGCTTACGAAGAAACTCATATCTGCTCGGAGCTCTTTGGCAGCAGGCCCCAGACCACATGCCTGCCTGTGCATTCAGCCTATAATAGCGAAGTGAGTAAAAGCATAAAAAACGTTGCTGGTTCAGCTGTGCTGCAGACATCTCTTGACCAACACACCATCTGCCCCCTTTTCCCTCAGAACAGGCAGTGTAGCTGTCCCGACGCGTATAAGCAAGTGGCGGTGAAGTGGAGCCCGCACTCATGTCAGCAGTTAAGCGATACCTTCTGTTACCAGTGTTCTCCTTCCCCCAGAACTGTACAGATCCAAAGCTCTCTAGCTCCCATAAATGCTTTACAGCAAGCTGCCGAAGGTTACGTGCACCCAGTCCAGCATGTCCTCCACTGCACCTGCCTTCAAGGAAGGCTCAAAAGAACGATGACGCAGAACTTGCTGCCTAAAAATGTTTTCCTCCAGTCAGTGCAGCAGTTCCAGGCACATCAGAGAATAAACAGGACAGATCCACATGCTCATCAAAACCCAGAGGAAAACGTAAGAACTGTTCCAAAGGTGCTGAGCTCCTCACAGTTTCTCTGCCGAAACGCCGGAGCTCTAATAGTGCATTGCTCGGAATGCGAGAACAGCCTATCGAATAACCAAACGGGATTCTGCCAGCAGGCGGACACGTGTGATGAAAAGGGTGGTGCAGAAGCCAACGGCGTTGAAGGCAAGAAACCCTCTCTGTCAAAGCAGAAAAAGAAAGCCGAGGGCAAGGTAGATGAGCGTTCTTTGCAGAACGACCGGGTTTTGAAGGCTGACCAGAGTGATAAAAGCCATCTGCTGAACAGGTCAGGGAGAGAGGCTCGCTACGAGGGTTGCCGTGAGAATTCACACTGTTGCAGCAAGGCTATCGCAGTGAAGTGCAATTCTGTTGACTGTCAAATGCCAAACATCGAAGCCAATGTGCCTCCTATGTTAATGCGCCCAGAACTTTCCAATGAAAGTTTGTTAATAAAAACACTATAATAAATCTTTCATTTGGGAATCCTGTGTCTTTCTTTTAAAAGTAAGTTTAAAAAGCTAAGAAGGAAAGTCCTGCATTAAATACGAATTATGATTTGCATTTTGGAATGAAAAATGTATTTAATAGAACAGTAACATTTATACATTTCATAAAGCCATTACATGTAGTAAAACCTGATGTTGTCCAGAATGTTTTTTTGCTGCAGCTCGTAAGATTAATTATGCTTCATTTAGGTTTTTGTCCCAGGGCGTTAGAGTCTGAATTCTCCTTACAACCTGCCTCAAGAAATAAAGCGTTACAAACAAACTCTCCCTGTTCTGAAGCCAGGGCTTGTGAGATGGGTAACGTTTGGGGTGGGCTGAGTACATCCTTCACCTTTCTTCTGCTGCCGCCTCGGCAGCTTGTGCGCGCCTCGCGACAGCGGCAGGACTGTAACTGTGTGTGTTCAGGATCGTCTGAAAGACCAGCTCAGCAGGGTAGCCTGTTTTGAGAACAATTTCAACTCTAACAAAATCTAAAGAAAAGCTCTTGGGGGGCAGCAGCACTTGCACCGCCGTAGCTGCCTCTCCCTGTGTGTAGTGCAGTGAAGGTTTCACGTGCCCTTTCTGGCAGTTCCTGTGTAGACTTGCCGCTGAACACCAGAGAATACAGGTGGAACCAATAGAGAGTGAACATTATTTACTCCTCAGTGATGACAGGAAGAGTATAATTCATGTGTATGACATATGTATGTATATGAAATCAGGAGTTACAAAATCGGGCGTGAAGTGCCTTGCAATACTGAGCTCTTTCCCACAAAGTATGAAATTTAGAAGTAAATCTGCTGCGGAGAAGAACATAGTTAATGCGCGTGTTCTACACTTGCTGTCAGTAGTCTACGATTAAGTCAATTCAGAAGGCTCAAATATGTAAATTAAGATATTCTGCTCAGAGTTTTTGTACCTGGGGAAGCTCCTCGATGCAGTTACAAACACTGAGCTAAACCACTTAACCAAGACATTGGATTTCAGACGCTGGATTTGTGTAACTGCGGGGTTTAGTCACATGGCAGCTATGGTTTGGTCATGGGAATACTTGCCGCTCTCGTCATTCAGGGAGAGTGGATTTGAGAGCTGGGACTGCGTAGTATATCGTAATTGGTACGCGCCTCAGTGACAAATCTCTTGGTATAATCGTTTGGTTATGCTGGTGATGGTGATTTACTTCTCCCGGATAACAGAAGATAGATTTCATGGGCTGATGTCGTATCGTGTACTTGGTGTGTTAGCAATCGCTGGAGGAGAAGCCTGGCTTTTTGTGTTGTGACGTTCGTGTCGCCGGGACGTAGAAGATGAGTATCGTATGGCAAACGGCTTTGGTTTGTGTGGGAGTAGTGATGGTAGTGCTTGTGTATCCCAGTGTCCGGAACAGAGTAAGAGGTTGAACTCTGCAGAAAAAGCCAAAATGGCTTTATGTGGGTTCAGAAGAGAAGCATTATTTCTTAGATACAACATAAATTTCCTTTTAGTTCTTTTAAAACTCAGTTTAGAGCCAAATTCTTTCTAAATGTTTGTAATGAGAGCAATTCAAGGATTTTCTTTGCATCACAGAGGTCATTCGTTATAAAGAGCTAAGACTTGGCAGTGCTAAGAGTCTAAGGAAATTAGAAAGGATAAGAAATAAAGTGGGCTGTGGCTGTTGTCCAACTTTTTTCCTGATCCCTGCACCTGCTTGGGTGCTGTCTCTGCGAGGGGTGCACGTAACGCGCTGCGCAGTCAACCGTGCCTGAAATAAACCCAACTGTGCCGTTTAACTGACCTGCAGTCGGCCCTTGCTGAAGCAGCGTGTGATGCGTGGGTAAGCGTCACATCAGCTGTCATCCACAGCTGTGCCTGGGAGACATGGGCCGCAGCGGAGGTCCCCAGCTAGCGCATCTACAGAACATAGCGCGTTTTGAGCTGGTGGACTCAAAATTGAGGGTTTTTTTCTCAGCCTGGCTTTCCACCACTGCATGCTGTGTAAGGAAACCCCTTCCAGCTGCTTATGTTAGTAACTGCTTTTATACTGGTGAGGTAAGCGATAAAGATTAATGTTGTATTTTCATTAAGATTTAGATGTTCTTAAAGGCTGATACAGTAAAAAATCACGGGGCAGGTAAGGAGTTGTGATGTAACGTGCTCCTCGAACAGACTGAAATGAGCTGATGTACTTGGCTAGCGAACAGTATCGCTGTGGTATTTGCCTTTTGTGACTTTGCCGCTGCCTCCCTGCTAACGTCTTTATGCTTTCCAGATCACCTGGCTGGACACGGAGCCGTCACTGGAACAGGTAAGTGTGGTGTGTAAGCACGTAGCAGCCTGTGTGTGCACAGCACCGATGTCGGTTCACGCAGAGGCTCTAACATCCAAGCCAGTAGAGCTGCTGGAGAGGGAGTTGGTTCCGGTGACATTTGAAGGCTGATGGGGTTATACCTGTCCCTGTCCCCAGAAAACTCAGGAGAGAAAGAAATTAAATATTAATAATTAAGTTTTTACAGGCTACTAAAAGCAAGCAAATAGGGGTGGGATCCTGTTCCGCTCCAGGAAATCTTAACAAGGACCATTACGTCCTACTGAGACAGCTCTCTGAGAGCTGCCAGTGGTTGCCAAGTCCCAAGGGAGGTTGGCGAGTCCAGACTGCTCTGATTTCCATTACCTGATTTGCTGTCACTGAGGCCCTCCCTTGCCCTGGGATTGCACAGTGACTCTGGATGTGTGCACGCCACGCCGGCTCAGTGCAGTGCTTCTCTCGTGGGTGCCCACGTGGGGTGAAGGCCCTACCACCGGCACCGGATAGCGCTTCCTCCGTGAGTGACGTGGTCCTGGCTTCAGGTGTAGAGCGTTTTCTGTGGCTGCTCCGTGCTGGGGTGTTGACCAAAGTGGGCAGGGTATTTGGTATTGTTCTGGCAGTGATGACGTGTAGCTTGGGACGTGACAGACAAGCTTTCTGCCTTTCAAAGTCTGGGAGAGACTGTACTATAACTTGTACCTGCAGTGAGTCTTTAAAGGGACATCGATTGTCCAAGGGAGGAAAGAGAGACTTTTTGTGGGAAGACAGTGATCTGTTTGTGACTCTGGACTGTACTGTAACTTGTACCTGCAGTAAGTCTTTAAAGGGACATCTCTTCGATTGTCCAAGGGAGGAAAGAGAGACTTTTTGTGGGAAGACAGTGATCTGTTTGTGACTCTGAAGTTGCTAGCGTGCGTTCTTTGAGAATAAAGAACACAACCCAAAGTCTCCCAGGGACTGGGACTTGCATCTGAGACCAACTCTCTCAAATTCAATTCAGCCCCGGGGGAAAAAAATTGTATTCAGCACAGTAGATACCTTAGTTGTCTGTCTTGTCCTTAGGCTCTGTGTTTTTCAGATTACAATCACATTTATAGTGTGGGTAATATGGTGATTAGTTTAACAGAACCTGCTAGAATAATGCACAGTAAGTCCTTTAAAATACTACACCTGGCTCAATACACAGTCGCTCCAGAGGCAGCTGCCTCGCACAAAGTATCAGTAGAGGGGTAGGTAGCTGGTATAGTAACGTAAAGGGGTTATTTTTAAGTTTCTATTTCATTGTTTCATTTTTTTTTAAGGAAATTAAAATCCATCTTTTTACAATCCTCTGCCAACACTTTAATTTGACCTTTTTCAACTAATGTGGGAGAATTGTTTTGAAATGCTTCGGATTAGGAACACCTCTGATCTTGCCAGATGGAGCCCTGGCAGTCAGTCCGAGAGAACTCTAAAAATACAGGTTGACAAACGACAAAAAATTTAGCACTGTAAGAAATGTCAAATGCGATCAAAATGGAATATATTTTATTTATATAGAGAATGTTACACTACTTAATATAGGTAGCAGATGGGTGATTCAGGCCAAAATCACACTGACTTCATTGAATCGGACCTTAAATTTTTTCCACATGCTGGTAAGCTATATTAAAGTTTACTTCTGCCAATAATATCTGAAGTGCCCATACAGCTCGCATTTGATTTACAGCGGCAAGCTGGGGCACCGTACGACTGTGTGTTGCGGATTCCCACAGTGTGAAACAACACTTGCCTTGGCAAAAAAAAGCTCAGTCTATACAAGTATGAGAGACTGCAAGAGGGGCAGTAGCATCTCTGAGTTTGTAATAGATCTCCGCAGACTCCTGAATTCGCTTCCAGTGTTAAGATTGCAGAACCACCCTTGCTTTAATGTTGTTATCCTTTGACCGCTTATCCTGTACGTTCTGTCTCTGTAGCTCACCGGCTGGCTGACTTTATCAGAATAAGGCCCCGGAGGTCTGGAGAGGCTGTAAAATAGATCGTGTGCAGCTTAGGAAGGCTGCAGGTTTTAGACTCTACCATGCTATGACTCGGAGCACTGAGTAGCACTGAGGGCTCTGACTTGGCTGTTTCTCTTTACTTGGCAGCTTGTGTCCGGAGTGTTTTTCTAAGGTCTCCACTTTAGAAAGTTGCATAGACTTGGGTACCTCCTGGAGACGTAATTTTCAGATGATTCCTGAAATGTGTTAAAGGAATTAATATCTTTAACTTGGGTTTGGATTACATTTTTTAGGTTTTGATAAATGCCGCTTTACCGGCAGATGGATAGATACATTCCAGAGAACAGAATCACTGAATCACAGCAGGGTTTGGGTTGGAAGAGCCCCATCTAGTTCCAACCCCGCTGCCGTGGGCAGGGACGCCTTCCACTAGACCAGGTTGCTCAAAGCCTCATCCAGCCTGGCCTTGAACACTTCCAGGGATGGGGCATCCACAGCTTCTCTGGGCAACCTGTTCCAGTGCCTCACCACCCTCTCTGGGAAGAATTTCTTCCTGATATCCAATCTAAACCTCCCCACTTTCAATTTAAACCCATTACCCCTTGTCCTGTCACTACAGGCCCTTGTAAAAAGACCCCCTTCAAGCAGCTGGTTGTTGCTTTTATTTAAATTCTGTTAGTTAAAAATGTATGTTGAGCCTGGTTCCCAAACTGTTAATT